ACACGGGGGGTGACAGGGGGCAGTGGGGGGACACGGGGGGCAGTGGGGGTGACCCGGAGTGTCCCCCCCAGACGGAGCAGTGCCTGTACCTGGTGACAGAGGCCGTGACCCCCCTGCGGCGGCACCTGCGGCTGCACCCCCCGAGCGGGGACTCGGGCGAGCAGGAGGTGGCCTGGGGGCTGCAGCGGCTGCTGGTGAGGAGGGGTCTGGGGGGAATCTGGGGAGGGGGTCCCTGAGGCCTTTATAGAGACCCTGAAATGAAATCTGGGGGGGCCCAGGTGGGTGGGGGGATCCCCAGGGTCTTAGGGGGGGGTCTCCAGAATCTGGGGGGATTTTGGAATCCAGAGGGGGTTCTGAGAGGATTTTGGCTCCTGGGTGGGAGGGGTTCCTTTATTGGGGGGGTTACCGATATTGGGGGGTCTTTTGCCCCTGCAGACGGCGCTGGCGTTCCTGGGGGTCTCGGGGCTCGTTCACCACGCGCTGGGACTCGACGCCGTCTTCGTGGACCCCGGGGGCGAGTGGAAGCTGGGGGGGCTCGAGAGGGTGGCAGCCACCAGCGAGGGGACCCCCACCCGCCCCCCGTCCCTCGGTGTCCTCATCCCTTTGTGCCCCAGCTCTCGCTGTCACCTGTCCCCACGTCACCGTATGTCCCCCCACGAACCCCCCCCATGTCCCCATGGCCAGGTCCCTGCTGTCTCTATCCACGTGTCACCACTGTCCCCACATCTGCATTTGTCCCCTCCTGTCCCCATCGTGTCCCCCTGTCCTGTCATTGCTCCAGCCCCGCGTGTCCCCACAGTGTCCCCCCCCTTTTCCCCCTGTGCTATTCCCCACGCTGTCCCCTGCCTGTCCCCGTGTCCCCCCTGTCCCCCCCTGTCCCCTGAGTGTCCCCGTGTCCCCCCCTGTCCCCTGAGTGTCCCCGTGTCCCCAGGCCGATGGCGCTCCGGTGTCGGTGTTCGCGCACAGCCTGGGCCCGGGGGGGGACCCCGGTGCCACCGCGCTGGCCCGGGCGGGGCTGAAGCGGCTCCGCAGCCTCCGGCACCCCAACATCCTGGGCTACCTGGACAGCCTGGAGGTGACAGGACCGGGGACAGCACGGGGACAGTGGGGACACTGCGGGGGCCACGGGGACATGGGGGGAATGAGGGGATGGGGATGAGCGGGGAGGACATGAAGTGAAGGGGACATGGGGACAACGGGAGGACAATTGTGACAGGGGGACACTCGGGGGGACATTTGGGGGACAGGAATGTCGGGGACAGCGAGGGGACAAAGGAGGGACACAAACAAGGACTTGGGGGGACACGGGGGGTGAGAGGGGATGGGGATGAGCGGGGAGGACATGAAGTGAAGGGGACAGGGGGACAACGGGAGGACAATTGTGACAGGGGGACACTCGGGGGGACATTTGGGGGACAGGAATGTCGGGGACAGCGAGGGGACAAAGGAGGGACACAAACAAGGACTTGGGGGTGTCCCCTGACCCCGTGTCCCCCTGTCCCCCCAGTCCCTGGGGTGTCCCCTGACCCCGTGTCCCCCTGTCCCCCCAGTCCCTGGGGTGTCCCCTGACCCCGTGTCCCCCTGTCCCCCCAGTCCCTGGGGTGTCCCCTGACCCCGTGTCCCCCTGTCCCCCCAGTCCCTGGGGTGTCCCCTGACCCCGTGTCCCCCTGTCCCCCCAGTCCCTGGGGTGTCCCCTGACCCCGTGTCCCCCTGTCCCCCCAGTCCCTGGGGTGTCCCCTGACCCCGTGTCCCCCTGTCCCCCCAGTCCCTGGGGTGTCCCCTGACCCCGTGTCCCCCTGTCCCCCCAGTCCCTGGGGTGTCCCCTGACCCCGTGTCCCCCTGTCCCCCCAGTCCCTGGGGTGTCCCCTGACCCCGTGTCCCCCTGTCCCCCCAGTCCCTGGGGTGTCCCCTGACCCCGTGTCCCCCTGTCCCCCCAGTCCCTGGGGTGTCCCCTGACCCCGTGTCCCCCTGTCCCCCCAGTCCCTGGGGTGTCCCCTGACCCCGTGTCCCCCTGTCCCCCCAGTCCCTGGGGTGTCCCCTGACCCCGTGTCCCCCTGTCCCCCCAGTCCCTGGGGTGTCCCCTGACCCCGTGTCCCCCTGTCCCCCCAGTCCCTGGGGTGTCCCCTGACCCCGTGTCCCCCTGTCCCCCCAGTCCCTGGGGTGTCCCCTGACCCCGTGTCCCCCTGTCCCCCCAGTCCCTGGGGTGTCCCCTGACCCCGTGTCCCCCTGTCCCCCCAGTCCCTGGGGTGTCCCCTGACCCCGTGTCCCCCTGTCCCCCCAGTCCCTGGGGTGTCCCCTGACCCCGTGTCCCCCTGTCCCCCCAGTCCCTGGGGTGTCCCCTGACCCCGTGTCCCCCTGTCCCCCCAGTCCCTGGGGTGTCCCCTGACCCCGTGTCCCCCTGTCCCCCCAGTCCCTGGGGTGTCCCCTGACCCCGTGTCCCCCTGTCCCCCCAGTCCCTGGGGTGTCCCCTGACCCCGTGTCCCCCTGTCCCCCCAGTCCCTGGGGTGTCCCCTGACCCCGTGTCCCCCTGTCCCCCCAGTCCCTGGGGTGTCCCCTGACCCCGTGTCCCCCTGTCCCCCCAGTCCCTGGGGTGTCCCCTGACCCCGTGTCCCCCTGTCCCCCCAGTCCCTGGGGTGTCCCCTGACCCCGTGTCCCCCTGTCCCCCCAGTCCCTGGGGTGTCCCCTGACCCCGTGTCCCCCTGTCCCCCCAGCCCTTGGGGTGCCCCTGACCCCGTGTCCCCCTGTCCCCCCAGTCCCTGGGGTGTCCCTGACCCCGTGTCCCGCTGTCCCCCCAGCCCCTGGGGTGTCCCTGACCCCGTGTCCCCCTGTCCCCCCAGTCCCTGGGGTGTCCCCTGACCCCGTGTCCCCCTGTCCCCGCAGCCCTTGGGGTGTCCCTGACCCCGTGTCCCCCTGTCCCCGCAGCCCTTGGGGTGTCCCTGACCCCGTGTCCCCCTGTCCCCGCAGCCCTTGGGGTGTCCCTGACCCCGTGTCCCCCTGTCCCCGCAGCCCTTGGGGTGTCCCTGACCCCGTGTCCCCCTGTCCCCCCAGCTGCCCCCCGGGCTCATCCCGCCCTTCTCGGAGCTGGTGGCTGCGGATCCGGGGGCCCGGCCGGGCCCGGGGCCGCTCCTGGAGCGGCTGCAGCGCCCTGGAGCCTTCCTGGCCTGTGCCCTGGTGCGCACCGGGCTCTTCCTCGAGCACTTCCAGGTCTGGCTTCAGCCTCCCTCATCCCTGTTCCATCATCCTCATCCTCATTCCTGTCCTTTTATCCTCGTCCCTGTCTCATCTTCGTGCTCCTCATCATTATCATCATCCTCATCCCTATCGCTGTTTCCTGATTTGTTCCTCGATCCTCATCCTCATCCCATTCCCATGTTCATTCCTCTTCCTTTATCCCCATCCTCATCCTTATCTTTTGATCCCTGCTTTTCTATTCTCATCTCATGCCCATCCCTGTCCCCTCATTATCATCATCCTCACCCCTATTCCTTCATCCTTTTCCTCATGTTCATTCCTGTCCTTTTATCCTCATCTCTGTCTCCTCATTATGGGGCTTGTTCCTGTTCCTCATCCCCATCATCATCCTCATCCCTATCGCTGTTTTCTGATCTGTTCCTTAATCCTCATCCTTGTCCCATTCCCATGTTCATTCCTCTTCCTTTATCCCCATCCTTATCCTCATCTCTTGATCCCTGCTCTTCCATCCTCATCTCATTCCCATCCCTGTCTCCTCCTCATCATTATCATCATCATCCTCACTCCTATTCCTTCATCCTCTTCCTCATCTTCATCCCCATCATCCGTCCCATCCTTGTCCTCTCCTCCTCATGTCCATTCTTGTTCTTTCATCTTCATTTCTGTTTCCATTTCCATCCCCATCCCTGTCCCCCATCCCCTGCTGTCCCCCCTGACCCCCGGTGTTTCTGGGACCCCCTGGCAGGTCCGGGACCCCTCGGAGCGCCGGACGTTCCTGCAGGAGCTGCCCCCTCTCCTGGAGTCCCTCCCGGGGCCCTTCCGGAGGCACAAGCTGCTCCCGAGGCTGCTCGAGGCCCTGGAGCTGGGCAGCGCTGATGCCAGCGCCCTGCCCCCGCTGCTGCAGGTGGGACCCCCCCAAAATACCCCACTAAAACCTCAGTGATCCCCAAAATCCCATTCACAACTTCCCTGCCCCTGCTGCTGCAGGTGGGAACCCCCAAAATACCCCCTAAAACCTCAGTGACCCCAAAATCCCACTCACAGCCCCTCTGCCCCTGCTGCTGCAGGTGGGACATCCCCAAAATACCCCACTAAAACCTCCCCGACCCCAAAATCCCACCCAGAACCTCCCTGCCCCCGCTGCTGCAGGTGGGACACCTCCAAAATACCCCACTAAAACCTCAGTGATCCCCAAAATCCCATTCACAACTTCCCTGCCCCTGCTGCTGCAGGTGGGACCCCCCCAAAATCCCCCCCAGTGACCCCCATAGCCCCCTGGTCTCCCCCCGCTCCCCCAGGTGGCGAAGGTCCTGGACCCCCCCGAGTACCAGGAGCGAATCGTCCCCGTCCTCGTCCGGCTCTTCTCGTCCCCTGAGCGGGGCCTGCGCCTGCGCCTGCTGCAGCTGGTGACTGGGAGCACTGGGAGGGACTGGGATGGACTGGGATGGGACTGGGATGAACTGGGACGGACTGGGACGAACTGGGATGGACTGGGAGGGACTGGGATGGGAAAGGGAGAGCCACGAGTTCAGCCGCGAGCCCAGCCTCAACTGGGTACGGACTGGGAGGGACTGGGGGGGACTGGGAGGGACTGGGATGGGACTGGGATGGACTGGAAGGGACTGGGATGGGACTGGGAGGGACTGGGATGGGACTGGGATGGGGCTGGGATGGGACTGGGATGGGGCTGGGATGGGGCTGGGATGGGACTGGGAAGGACTGGGAGTGACTGGGATGGGGCTGGGATGGAACTGGGAGGGACTTCAGGGAGCACTGGGAGGGACTGGAAAAATCTGGGGTGCAGCTGGAAGGGTCTGGGATGGCGCTGGGAGGGACTGGGAGGGAGTGGGATGGACTGGAAGAGTCTGGGATCATACTGGCCCCCCAAAACACCCCCCCTAAAACCTCCCTGACATCCAAAATCCCACCTACAACCTCATTGCCCCCCCACCGCTGCAGGTGGGACCCCAAAATCCCCCCCATGACCCCCAAAATCCCCCCCATAACCCCCAAAATCCCACCCAGAACCTCCCTGCCCCTGCTGCTGCAGGTGGGACCCCTATGGGCCCTGGGGGGGACTGGGAGGGGTCCATGGGAGGGTGATCCCTGGTTTTTGGGGGTCCCTGGGGGTGTTCAGGGGTCTCATGCCCCCCTCCCACAGCTCGAGGAGTTCATTGAGTTCCTGCCTGAGGCCACGGTGGATTCCCAGATTTTCCCCCACGTCGCCCACGGGTTCCTGGACTCCAACCCGGCCATCCGCGAGCAGACGGTCAAGGTGGGCCCCCAAAATCATCCAGGACCCCCAAATCACGTGGGAACCCCCCCACCCCCAAATCACCCAGGACCCACAAAATCTCCTGGGAACCCCAAAAATTACCCAAGACCCCCAGATTTTCTCGGATTCCCCCAGAAGTTACCTGGGGATCCCTCAAACCACCTGGAGACTTTTCTAAAAATCAAATAGTGACCCCAGAATCCACCTGGGGAGCCCCCCAAGACAGCTGGGTATTCCCTGAAAGGGTGGGACTGAGTGGGGACCCCCCCCCGAAATGGGTGGGACTCTTCAATCACCTGGAGCCCCCCCAAAATAACCTGGGAACCTCCTTCCAAATGGGCCCCCAAAATGGGTGAGATTCCCCCAACCACCTGGGCACCCCCAAATGGGTCGGATCCCCCCCCAAAATCCCATCTGGGGGTGCCCCCTGACCCACCCCCCTCTGTTTGTTCCCCCCCCCCTCCAGTCCATGGTGCTGCTGGCGCCCAAGCTGGGGGAGGGGCGCAGGGGGGGGGAGCTGCCCCGGCTGCTGCTGCGGGTGCAGGGGGGGGACGCGCTGGGACCCCTGCGCTGCAACGCCACGCTGTGCCTGGGGCGCCTGGCCCCCCACCTGCCCGCCCAGGTGAGCTCTGAGACCCCCTGAACCCCCCCCCAAATCCCCTCTTTGTGTCTGGCCCCCCACCTGCCCGCCCAGGTGAGCTCTGAGACGCCCCTGAACCCCCCCCAAATCCCCTCTTTGTGTCTGGCCCCCCACCTGCCCGCCCAGGTGAGCTCTGAGACCCCCCTGAACCCCCCACCACTGGCCCCTGTCCCCTTGTTCCCCCGTCATGTCCCTGTCCCCTCTCATCATCCTTTGTTCTCCTTCACTGTTCCCCCTCTGTGTCCCTGTGCCCTCCCTCACTGTCCCCCCCTCACTATTCCCCTGTCCCCCCTCACTGTCCTGTGTCCCCGCTGACTGTCCCATGTCCCCTCTCTCTGTCCCCTGTCCCCCCTCACTGTCCTGTATCCCCTTTCTCACTGTCCCATGTCCCCTCTCACTATCCCCATGTCCCCCCTCACTGTCCCCCCTCATTGTCCCTTGTTCCCCCTCACTGTCCCCTGTCCCCACTCTCTCTGTGTCCCTTGTCCCCCCCCACCCTCCCCCCCCACTCCCCAGA